TCAATTCAGTTGAAGCATTCATCTGTCAAATAAGCAACCAAAACAACCATGATTTGTGTTCAACCAATCAAACCCAAAAACTCATCTAAACCTATCGATTAAACTTCATCGATTTATAGTAAATCAATCAAAATAAGAAAGAATATTAAAGAAACCTATGATTATCCAGCCAACAACAACCCTTTGTTTCTTCTTCTGCTTGCCCATTGATTTCACAGCCTCAATCTAAACACCCATATGATTTCGGTTCTTCTTCCCTGCCTCTACCAAGCCATTGATGCATTTTTTCGAATGTATTATGTGCGTGATTATACCTAAGAAATTTGGATTGGAAAATTGGGTTTGTCATAAGTGGTTTATGTGAGTTTTGAATTATCATTCGAAATCAATTGCAGATCCAAATCAATTACGAGTCAATTTCAACTACGGAAAGTTTCATTAACGGGATCAATTATATGTAACATTGATAATTTGAAAAAAGAAAAGTACCAGGAGCCAATTTCGATTTGGCTTTGACGCTCCCTTGCCGATAAAACAAAAAGATAAACCCTAACCTGTCCTTTGACTTTCGAATTGATTTCAGTATCGGTCTCTGGTCGGATTCTTGCCTTCCTCATTAGTCATTCCCTTATGTTTTGATCGAAGAGGGTAGTTGTGGTATCGTCGGCAATGATGGCTATGAGGAAGGAAGTGGGTAGTCATGGTGGTCGTATGCTATGAAGATGATGGTGTGGTTATCGGAAATAAAGATGATGGTGGTGCTCAGCAACCAGAAAAACAAGAATATGGTTGTGGTCGTTTGGTAAATTTTGTGGGTCAATGTTTCTATACAGTGAAATCGGTGGAACGAGGGGTTTTGAAAGTGACGATGAAGGGATAAAGAGAGGAACGAGATTTAAACTAGAGAGATACCATGATTATAGAGATTATTTTTGGAAGTTATTAAACAAATGACTAACTTACCCTTATTTATTTATTTTATTATTTAATTTTGATTGGCCTACATTGATACATACAATAACACAATACTTAGTTAAAACATCTGAACATATATATATATATATATATATATATATATATATATATATATATATACACACACACACACACACACTAGTTTATAACCCGTGGGAACCACGGTTAGAAAATTAATTAAACTTTCTAAGTAAAAATTCAAAACTATTAATTAATAATTTTAAATAACTTATTAATTAAAAGATATTTTTTATTTATATATAAAATTATAATCATTGATTCAAATAAATACGTAAAATAGATAATCTTATAATTTGTATAAATTTTATTTTATTATAATTTGTATAAATTTTATTTTATTTTTATTCTAATATTATTAATTTAATGTAATTAAAATGTGATTTAAATTTTGAAATTTGAAATTTGAAATGGAGAATTAATAGATTGATAAGTGTCATGATATTAATTACAAGTGTCAATAGATTGACAAGTATCATGGTATTAATTACAATGCTAAAATGGTGACACATGGCAAAAGAACTACTCTTTTATTAGTATATATATATATATATATATATATATATATATATATATATATATATATATATATATAGAGAGAGAGAGAGAGAGAGAGAGAGAGAGAGTGAGAGTGAGAGAGGGAGCCGTTCAAATGTTTCTAACAAATATTGTGTGTATGTATGCACTAATGAGAATTCAGGATTTAATAAATCATTAAATAAATTAAAAAATTGTATAATGGTAAACTTAGTATATCTAACTATGATAAAAGAATAATTCAATTAATATCTCTTTAATTAGTTAAACCCTACAAAATCAACATCCCTTTATCATTCAGTCGTCAATCACGTTGGTTATCGCCTCCTCATCACCGGTTCTTCAGATTGGTTGTGTTCGAATCCGGCATGGTTCTCGGCCTCAAAACTAGCTCCACCGCCAAAACTGGTGGACTACGTCGGCGGAAGTGGGTATATGGTTTTTTTAAATCAAATTGATGGGTTTTTTTATCGTATATCAGTCTCGTTTGGGGTTTATATTATTTGATTAAAATTGCTTTTTGTGATAGTAAATTTCGTCCATCACCGCCAAAAGTGGTGGACTACATCTTCTATGTTAATGTTTAATTCCTTTATTTATACATTTTTACTGTAGCAATTCATCTTTTTGAATCAAAACCTACGCAGATATAATATGCGACTTGGTTTTGATTAATGTGTTCATTATGTTTAATTTGGTTCCTTTGTTTATAATTTTTTTATTATAACAATCAATTTTTTGCAATCTAAACCAACATCAAAGACAATGTCACTTGGTTTTGACTAATCTTCTCCGTGTTGTTTACTATTTAATTTGCTGGAACAAAAAAATAGTGTTATGCTGTCATAATGGTGGTTAGAATCTAACCATAAGTATGCATTCTTTTATAAAATATTACACTTATTTAGAAAATATTGTGTTCTGAATATAAAGTTATATATTCTTTGTTTGCTGAAACACACATCAAAGTAGATGCAAAAAGCAGTTTTTTTTATTATTTTTTTATTTATTATTTTTTTAAATGATATTACTTTGCTGAAATAGGATATTAGATGAATAAATTTGAACTTAAATTCTATTTGTTTGCTAAAATATGAAGTTAGATGTATAAATCAGATTTTTGATTGTATTACTTTGCAGAAATATGAAATTAGATGCAAAAATATGAAAGTCCATGCTATTTGTTTGTTGAAATATGACGTTACATGTATTTTTGAACTTAGATTCTATTTTTTTGTTAAAATATGAAGTTAGATGTATAAGTCAGATTTTTGATTGTATTACTTTGTAGAAATATGAAATTAGATGCAAAAATATTTATTTTAGCAACGAGTTAACTACATCCCACATTGCTCCATTATTGAAACTTAGCCAACATTTTCTTCTATATAAGCTCTCCATTCTTTTTCTTTCTATTATTTCAAAAATGTATTCTATCAGAATTTCTTTATATAAACACATTCTGTTAGAATGTCTTTGAAATTGTTTGTTAACAACAAGTATATTTTGTTTAACGGAAAACACTTTAATGTATTCTGTCAGAATTTATTTATACTTTAATGGTTTATATATTCTAATTGTTTTTTTTCTTAGTCACCTTTTATGTTAACATAATCTTTTCATGTATTTATATTTCAAATATTTTGTTCGTTGTGTATATTCTTGATAACACAAATTCTTTAAGAATATTCAAAACCATTCTGCAAGAATAGTTTATTTTGTAAGAATATTATTGTTCTATTTTGATAGAATTGTAGTTAATTATTTATATATTTAATGTGCAGTTGTTACAAGTGTATCATTATAAAATATTTGACAATGAATTTGTGATAGAAATGACTTGAAGAATAGCTTGAAGACCTGATGGGAAAGGCTTCAAACATGAATTAAAAAATGATCACACCCACTGTTTAAGAATGTTGTTATTTTTTAAGAATTACACTTGTTATTCTTTCATAATGTTGTTATTATTCAATGAATCACAATCATACAATATAATTATTTGGTATAATATTAGTTCAAGAATCGATTTTGTGTAGTATTTCAGAATGTATTTATTAGTTTATGGTTAGCATTCTATTATTCTGACAGAATAAAATCGAAAAAAATATTTACAAGTTTATGGTTTGCATTTTATCATTCTGACAGAATAAAATCGACTTTTTAAATTTGAATTAATTAAAAATAATCATATATTTAAAAACAAAGGAATTAATTATCCCTTAAAATCCGAAAATTTCCTTTATTAATATAGGTTAATTGACTAAAATGCCCTTATGTTAAAATTTGTGTATTATATGGTACATATTATCTAATTCTAATATCATAGACTTTCAGATCATGACATTTAATTCTATTACATCCGGTGGTCCAGATCTGTGCATTCTGAAACATAATAGTTAGTAAAAACAAAATAACCTATCTATCTATCTATATATATATATATATATATATATATATATATATATATATATATATATATATATATATATATATATATCAATGATAAATGGTCAAGTAAATAATACTTAGATGGTAAGTAATTATAATTTTATTTTTAATTGAAAGAGCTCTGAATTTCTTTTAAGAAATACACAGAATCATGCTTAAAATATGCATTGTAGCAAACGCACATCCAATATTTATTTCACTCGTCTAACAATATACTTGTTATCCCAAAAAAATTACGCTACCTAAATATAATTTGATAAAAAGGGTAAAAAAAACAAAAAAAAACTTTTGGGTCAAGCCTTATTAAACGTCAAAAATGTCGGAACATTGGTAAAAACATAATATCATTGTGTAATTTCTATAAACTTAAATATTTAGTATAATGATCAACATGATTGTTGAAACTTCAATTATTCAAAATCATTCAAAAAAAAAAAAATGCTTACATGTTGAAAGGAGTCAACACTCAACAGTCAACACGGTCGAGTTTGGTTTAAAAAGAATGTTTCTAAGAAAAAATGTTTATGTTCCTAAAACCGTTTTCAATTGTTTCAGTTTTTAATTTTTGATTCATACTTTTGTATTAATCATGCTGATAAAAATTGGAAAAAAAAAATTAAAAAATAAAAAATAAAAACAATATTAAACCAAAATAACCTTTAAATTCAAGTTAAAGGATAAAAATGTTTAATTAAAAGACATGTTCGAACTCTCTCGTCCTTGTCAAAGTTGAACAACGATCTGATAAACTTATGTTTGATGTACTAGCTGAAAAACTAGTTTATATTCTAACCAATAAAAAATGAAGTTTGGTAAAAACTAGCTGATAAGCTAGCTGTAAGATACAAAATAATATAAAAAGGCATTTAATAAAAATTTGGTTTTTGTATTAATTAAATGTATATTTATGAAATAAAAAGAAGTCCTGAAAAGCTGGTATAGATAACTTTTCAAGAAGCTTGCTTATAAACACTAATTTATAAGCTACTTTCTGGTTTACCAAACATGACAGCTCAAAAAAAAAAAAAACTCGATAAATAAATTAGCTACGATGCGGCAAAAACAACGTAAAATGTATTACAGAAAACAATATTTCGGATGTTCATTTCGTTTAAGTGAATTCGCTTTTTATAACAACAAAAACCAAATGGACTTAAATATGTTACACGAATTTAGTTCTCTTCTTCATATTTTCGTGCCTAAAACTCAAATTATCATCTTTCAGATTATCCCGAAGAGTTATTTCGTGATGCCCAGACATATAACGAAAGTAAACTTACATGATCGAATATCAAACACTAAATTGTGCAAAATTTGTTACTAAATCTATAATAATTGAAACAACGTTGTTGCACATAGTGTTAAGATCAACATGTAGTACCATTGACAAATTTGAGCTCGAAAAACCTGATACAAAGAATAATGGTGTAAGATACAAATTATAGGTTTTTTAAGGGGGTAAATGCAAGAAAATAACAACATACTTTCATTTTATTTGTGTATGTAGGTTGTAGCATCCTATTTCTATTTCTTTTTAGACAAAATTACATAAATGGTCCTTGTGGTTGACAAAACCAACCAACTCTAGTCCTTAGATGGTCCCTATGGTTTCAAAATCTTGCAAAGACAGTCCTTTTGGCTAACGGTGTTAACTTTTCCAGTTAATCCCTTGTGAAATGACACGTTTTCCCTTCTTTCCATAGGGACCATTTATGTAATTTCAATGTTTTTCTTATTAAGACATCATATCTATCAAAAATCAATTTTTTTTACGATTATACGTCAAAAAAAAACTTGTGGAAAATTAGTCAACAAGAAGATATAGCAAAAGCAAGACAAGTTACATACCTTCAATGAATTTGCAGATGAAGATTTAAGACTTGGAAAACCGATATCATACGAAATCCTCCCATCGGGTTTATACAATCCAAAGTTCCTTTCAGAAGTGGGACCCGGCTTTGAATTCTCATTAAATAAAGCAAAAATATACGCCTTCAATACAAAATTCGGTCTCCTTGGAGTCCCTTTTCTTTTAGCAAGCCTTTTACGCAAATTATAATTATAAATTCTTGCATTTTTCAAAGTTGCTACACCTTCATTTAAATCTCCATGAGAAGCCCAACCTGTTTCCGTAACTATAACCTCCATTTTATCAAATCCAGCATCTTCAAGAGCAGCATAAGTTGCATCAATTTGAGCATCAAGCATGTTGTCATAATGGAGGTTGACTTTTTTGTCATATATTCCATTTGTTGGGTTAAAAAGAGCATAATTTATATCAATATGATCAGGGTTACCCATGTAAGCTAAAAAAGGGTATGCATTTAGACAAAAAGGGGATCCGATTTGTGAAAATAACTTCAATATCTTCTTCATGTTTTGAGCAATATCTTCTTTGAATGTACATGAAGATGGAGGATATGAAGTCCCAAACACGTTTTGTGAATGTGCAGTTGATATTTGAACCATTTTGTGTAATTTAAGTTTTTTTGTGGCGTTGTAAATGTTTTTAACAGCATCAAAAAGAGAATCTTGAAGATCTAAATCATTACTTCCAAGAATTTCATTTCCAACTGCAATTCCTACTATATGTGTTTTGGGAAAGTATGCATGAACATTTTGTTTTACCCAATTGAGGGCATGATCGGGATTTTCACTCATTTCTTTGACAAATTCATTTGGAAGTCCAATTACTAAATCCAACCCACTTCCACTAAATGCATCAAGAACACTGTGATCAGCATCATATATTCGGACATTTTTTATTTTAGAAGCTTTAAGGAGTTTAACAACTTCAGTAGGAGAAGGGATGTTATCTGCTAATCTTCCATAGTTTATACCATAGGTTCCTGTGAAAGCTTTAGCTGTTACATACCCTGTGAGAAACATAAAGGGGGTGAAGATTTATAGTAGAAATTATTCAATTAACACTCTTTATCACATTACAATATAATCTTTCAAATTTTCCGATTGAACATTCAAATTCACATACCCACAATCAATTTCGCATACAAAAGCACCCAATCTCTTCGATCTAAGCATATAGATTAAACGATTATGTAGCAATTACTGAAGTTAAAGAAGTGTCGCTGTTTGTTAGCTCGCCGATTCAAATTTCAATCGAAGAAAGTCGAATAAAACACAGAAACAAACGAAGAACGTTTTAATTACTATATGCATTAAATTGATATGAACATCAATTTTAACGTCAAGTTAATAGCATTCAAGTAAGAATCGATGAATGAAAACAATAATTAAAAGGGGAAAATTATTACCTTTTTGAATAAAAAAGACCAAAAGCAGAAGAAGATACCGACAAAAGGATCTCGAAATCTTCATTGCATCGGAGTCAGTGAAATGACTCCGACGCCGTTACTTTTGATCCTGCAACTCAGCCATGACATGAGATTAATTAACAGATTCCTTCCTCAGTTCCTCTCTACTCTACACACCATCTCTTACTCTGTATACATGTTCGTACACGCTTCTCTTTGTATAAGAGTATACTAATAAGTTCTTCTTTCAAGAATCGTGGGGATCAAGTGCAGTGGCTCCGGCGACGGGGGCGGCGGTGTACGGCGGAAGAAGGGGCTTTTGGCGGTTTTCTCAGTGGGCACAATTTATAGTGTAGAGTGTAGAGTGTAGAAATCTTTTTTCAATTTTGTGTCGATGAATAGCCACATCGCATATTATATGGCCTTATATTCCCACATTATATCTTTTTACTACCCTTGATTTAGATATGTGTTGCAAACCAGTCCCTCCTGTTTAAAAAATGTCCCTTTTGGGAGAAAATTATGTTGTCAAACTTAAGGTCAAATATGTTAAAAAGAACTTAATCCAAATTTACAAAATTTGACAAAATCTATCGGTTCTTCCTATTGGGATGCCTAAAATCTTTTATAGTAAGTTTCAGTTTCAAACTATCTTACCAATTATAATTAGTTTATAATTCATGAGAATCACAGTTATAAAATTAATTAAATTCTTTTAGTAAAATCTCAAAATTATTAATTTTTCTGTTTTGTGAATCAATTTTGAATCCATTAATTTAAATATCATCGTACAACGAGTGAGATGACGAACATGCAATAAGCTGCGTCGCTAAGCTTTTTTGTATGGTAAAGCTAATTCTTTTGAAGACTATATTCATAGATCTAGGGGATATAACATTATTATGCATGATCTGTTATACTCTATTAAGAAGTTTCATCGCATCCGATGCGAGGAAACCAAACGTATCAAATGCAAATAGTATGAACACGTGTTGATTTTCCATGCACGATTTTTCATGTTTAATGACTTTGTCTGTAACAACTTTTAAAGTAGTCTGCATCACCGTGAAACCCCTAACATTCAAGCCCACAAGAGGGGATACCCCTGTAAGGTCCGCACATACGTGTTTCCCTCCGACCCATCCAAAAATCAAAACGTCAGCCGGTTTAAGGGTTGACTTTCCTTCTGTCGGGTCAGTCAAGAAATTCACAAGTGCCTTTATCTTGGCGGAAACCCCAGTACGCTTAAATATGTCAAACAAAACATCCCTAACCATATCGTGTCTATATTTGAACCCTAGGAGCTCTTTACAGTGAACTGCATGCTCTCCAAAAGAGTCCAAACATGTCATACGACACACCATACATATCTTGTCAACTGGGAATATTGGAATCATAAGCCGATATTTGAGAATATTACAATATTCCACAGGAGACATATGTTGGCCAAGCCCATCTATAGGGATAGCTAGAAGAAAATCTTGAGAATGTGATGCACTTAGGCACTGGAAAACCACTTTTTGCCGAGTTGTCATGTCTAGAAACACTTCCATATCTTGGAAAATTTTACGAAAAGGGCACTCGCCAGTGTATTCTAAAATTTGGGGGGGGGGGGTATCTTTAGTAGTAAAACTGCTAAGGTCAATATCTGAAAGTTTGTTACGAAGAGAAGCCAATGCACAATAATAATCAGAATCCATACAATATATGTCGCTATCCCGTAAGATGTGGTCTTGCAATACCCAAGATTGGGCCCTTGAGGCAATAAAAGCTTATGAGTTAGCCTCCACTGCCAAGTATAAACCTAAACCACCAAACCTATGGGTTAGGAAGCAATTCGCCACTGTATGTCGCTAAAGAAAGGACCACCACAAACCACAATGTCCTCAATCTCCTTACGCAACCCATGGTGGCTGCCGTCCCTCCACCGCCGCCCTGTATGCCGTCCCTCCACCGCCGCTCTCCTCCAAGATTTAAGTGCATCTACGTGGTGGGTGTTTTCACTCTTGTGTGTGTGTGTGTGTGTTTCAGTTTGTTTTGGCATGTGTTGTTGGCTGGAAAACAAGAGGACCCCTTGGCAGCCAACCATGGTGGCTGCCGTCATTTCTACTTTTTCTGCCACCATCAGTCACCGTGTGTGGGTGGTTGTGTGTCTATATTAGGGTGTATGTGTGTGCGTGTTTTTAATGAGGACATGTTGTATGGATATTTTTAGCCGGAAAACCAAAGAAAAACCCACCACCACCACCGTGAGGTCGTGCCTTTCACCTTATGGTCGGTACCAGCCGTTGTGTTGGGTGGTTGTGTGCATGAATTAATGTGTGTGTATGTGCTATTTTGCATAAAATAATGTATTGGGTGCTTGTTGCCGGATTTTGACTGAAAAACCACCACCACCGCCACGAACAACCCCCGACCACCATAACCTGAGGTGGCATTAGGTGGTGCCTGATTTATTAAAAATATATTTATTTAATTAACTAATCATCAAATGTTAGACCGAGTGGCACGCGTTGGGTTGGAAACCCTAATGTCAAGAAAACCCTAGTTTAGGGTTGGTCGGGACCCGCGTTACCACTGTCAATTAAACTTTAAATAATACTTAATAATTCTATACAATTAACTTAATGCAATATTGGAATTACTGGATTAAGCACTTAAGGGGTTTAGTGTGGAACACTAACCCTAGTTATCATTTTATTTGAAAAACCCTAGAATCGGGGAGCTCAATTTAGACAATGATTGGGCGTGTATTTGGACTGTTGATTGGATTATTATTTCACTAGAGAAAGGCTAAGTCAAACCTTAATGAGTCATACCCTTAATTGATTAAGTCCTTAATGTGTTAAGTCTTCTTACTTAACCCTAATCGTCATTTTATGTGAAACCCTAATTGCCATTTCATGTGAGGTGGTCACTGCTACAAGTGACTCTGACCTGTGATCGGGCATTGCCTCAAGCATCTTCCTATAGGTGATATGAAGTGAAGTGAAGCTGGTAGAGTCCTTTATTGCTACAGTGTTTATCTACGCGCCTATCGAGGCGAGTTTCGCCTCACTATACCCTTGGGTCGAAGGCTCCAATGTCGGTTGTAACATCCCGACTCCCAAGTATAATATCTATATATTTATTTATGAATTGATTGAACAACTCGATGAGTTGGATGCCCTAACTCGTCGAGTAGAGTTGGATTGGCCACGTGGGTTTTATGACCAACTCAACGAGTCGGAGGGACCAACTCGACGAGTTGGCGCTATGAGAGGAAACGCTGATTCTTCGGGGTTGGGTCCTATTTAAAGGACCTTAAGCCCTCATGTCCGCCTCACCAACCGCCTTACTCCCCGGTGTGAAACCCTAATCGTCTAGAGTGAATTGAGACAGAGAGAGAGAGAGAGAGAGAGAGAGAGAGAGAGATAAGAGCTAACTTGAGCATTCTAGTGTACTTTTGGATGATAAGAGAAGAGTATCAAGGCTTTGAAACAAGAAGGGATTGTTGTATATGGTGTTATTTCATTTATAGCTTTTGTTGAAGGTAAAATGTAACACCGTAAAATTTCAAAACAATTTTTCATTTAAAATAATCGATTAATTCTTAGAAACACTTGTTTAAAATCTCATTAATAATTGAATTACAAAACATAACTCCATTTTCACTTGCATATTAAACCAGGATCCTCAAAACATGACTCTTTCTCCGGTGTGTACAATCAAGCCGGTGCAGTCCCGTGATCCTGAAAGAAACCTGAAACATAACACAAAACACTGTAAGCACGAAGCTTAGTGAGTTCCCCAAAATACCACGTTTAACACATAAAAGCCACTCGAGGCTATAACTCTGTGGGTCCGTGCACCCAAACTCTGTGAACTCTCAGGTTCTAACTCTGGGAACCTTCCGGTTCCAACTCTATAAACATGCACAACATAAATCACATAGAAATAATGCAGTACAACACATCACGTACATATAGCATACAAATACTCTGATCACATAACTCTGGTTACCTACTCAAGGTAAAGTATAGTGAGAAGACTCACCTGGCAAACAGAAAGCAGATATCCCCACACTTGAATCTCGAACCCGCCACCGCCTAACACGTAAGGCAAATACTCTCATGAATATAACTCTCGAGACTAGAATCAACCCTATCATGGCACCCTCTTAAGGGTAAAAGACTATTTTACCCCTCTCTTGGCCCAAAGGCCACATCGCTGACCAAGCCCTAAAAGTCAACGGTCAACTCTTGGTCCAAGTCAAAGTCCTCCGTCAAAGTCAACCCTCCTGGTTGACCCTGCTCGCCGAGTCAACCCGTCGACTCGTCGAGTCCCCGTGCTCAGAACTTCCCCAATCCGCGACTCAACTCGCCGAGTCACCCCGAGACTCGCCGAGTCCCACAACTCTGAGTCCACTCGCACACAACTCACCGAGTCATCCCTTGACTCGCCGATTCTCGACTCAACCAGAAAATATTTGGGACTCTTCGACAAGACTCGTCGAGTCCAAGAACAGACTCGCCGAGTCTACGGCTATCTTCAACCTACTCGCCGAGTTGTTCATACAACTCGCCGAGTTCCAGGCCATCTTCATCCAACTCGTCGAGTCCACCCATGTGACTCGCCGAGTACCACCGGTCTGAATACATTCAGAAGCATTCCAGGCCATGCAACTGCTCCAAAGCATAGATCTAGTCTCCTACCACTCATCCATCACGTAAAGTGGCAAACTTTACGTGAATCCAAAGAGATCTAAGCCGTTTGCACATTGGGCTAGGGTTTGGGACATGTAAGCTTCACTAAACACTCCAACACAGGGACTTTCATGCTCTCTGATTCTTCTCCCTTCCAGATCTGAGGTAGCAACCTCAGATCTAACCTCTAGACTTCCCATTACATCCCTAGACAAATTCCCACAACCCCAAAATGAAGAAACCACATAACAACAGTCCAATAACGAGATATTACCTCTAAGGATGCCCCAACTGCAATGTAATTCGAATCCAAGCAAAGCCCCTTGCTCCAAGCCTTCAATCTCCCAAAATTCCTTCAACAATTACTTCTCCAAGCTCC